GAACAGTTGGTGACAAAATATGAGCCTATTATAGCCAAGTTGATTGGAAGCAAGCTTTAAGAAAAATATTTGCAGAAAGTGCCTAACTTCTCAATCTTTGTTCTCTCTTAATGCAATAAATTTATTGCTGTATCTCTAAACATTGTCTTAAGGCTACTGTACTATTTTTCTCTCAGACCTCTTGATATCAACACTAATGTCACTGTGCTAACACCATCTGAATTGTTCAGCTTAGCTTAAGCTTCTGTAGGAGTAATTTTACAAACAATAGTCACATTTTAAGTTAAAGAACATGTGTATAAGCCTTAACATGAAGGCAAGGTAAGCTGCAGAAAATTAGATTTATGCAGTCATTTAAAAAAAATTTTCCTGTGGTTGAATCTGCTGACTGCTTCTTGTACAGTTACCTATTGGAAGTCACTCTTTTGCCTCAATAAAACAGTTACAAATTCAGAAACATCTTGAAAAAATGGTAATAAGATGCATGATGTCTTGAATGAATATTTATCCTAACAGCCATATATTTCACTTCATGTAGGTGATGTTCATTCACAGAAGTACTAGTTGCTGCAATATCTTTCCTCTGAAGCTGTTATTTCAAACTAACAAAGACAGGGGTAGGAGCATAAAAAAGACAAAAACATTGCTATTATTATTCATCAGTTTACATTTATTGAGAAAAACCATACAAAAAAACCATTGTACAGTTAACGTGTACCCATATTACATACAATGTCAATGCAAGCTCAAAACCACATTTTTGTAAAGCATTCAATTTACCTCAAGTCCAAGCTGCATCTCCCTAAGACACTGTTCCCATCACAGTTGCCTTTTTAAGCCAATCTTCTTTTTACACACGGGTAGTTTCTGCAGAGAACACTTTTCTCAGGACGAAAAGGCATTTCACATGCACGCAAGAGAAATATTTGTGCATACATAAGAGGTTTATAAGCTATTACTAGGGAAGAGGGAATCCTGTCAACTGTATGCTTTCTGAAAAGCCCAGTCCTCCCTTCCTCCCCCCACTTCCAGAAAAAAGCAAAATAAAAAGCTTTCAGCATGCAATGGAAAACTTAAAGTTACTTTGGAAGAGAACAGGGGAGAAACAGTTTCTATCATCCAATAAAATACCACTAGTAAAAAGACTTAAGTATTTCAAGATAGGCTGTGCAAGTGAGTAATGATCCTGTCTGCCTGGACAACTTAACAGATGACTTACGATCATGCTAGACTGAAGATTATCCACCTAACATTTTATTTCATGTCCTATTAAAGTATAGGCTGCAGAAAGTGATACGAAAATGCTTTTCCTACTTTGAACATTACGCTTCCTTTTTAAACTTTCTGTACTCTTCACTTTCTACTTAATTTGTGGGACTCTAAAGGGACAGGGGGGAAAGCAGAACATTTAAAGACACCTTTTGGAAGTTCATTACATTTCTAAGGAAGTCCAGTTATCTTTTTGGATCAGGATAACTCCGATAATCTATTTTCTGTTCTCCTAAGAACTACGAGTTTGGAGACAGAGTCGAAAAATAAACACTATGCTCAGCACAAAATAGCATGCCTGTAAACCCAGCAGTGAGAAAGCTGGAAGTCAATACACCTGAAAGGCTACACACAAGAACATCTCATCTCCACACACTAGCAACATTCCAATAAACTGGCTTTTTCTTCTCTATCCCCTCCACTGGCTAAGTTTACAATTGAAAGACTTCAGGTATTTCAGCAACAACAGTTGAAGAAAGAAGTATCATGTAAAAGGAAGTGAACAAATGACTCACCCCAACACTAAATTCACAGTATCAAAATCCAAATGGTACATACCTAACCTTTTCTCACGTCAAAAATGAAGTTACATATTAAACTACAGATGAAATATTAAGTGGCTTGAGAAAAACTGAAGCACAACTATTAATTTCGTTCAAAAATTCAATATATCTAAGCTTGGCTGTTTAGAAGAATATAAATTAAAATAGATGGTTCATATTATTAAATCACAGTTTAAAAAACTTAACAGATTATGGAACATTTATGGTCAAACAAATAATACTTTAAAGAAAAGTGATCAAAACAAAAATTATACCCTACACCATTATGTATGGGATACATTTCAAATCTGTTATGTTTTTGCCAATTTTACCTTCTACATGGAGCCCTTCTATGGTCCATGCTCATCGGCTCACCAATGGCATACACTCAAAGGATTCCTCTTTACTGGTAGTAACTATCTCAGGACCTGATTCTATGAGCTATGATTTGGTGCTTGCAGCATCTTCAGCACTGTGTGTGAAAATGAAGGCAGTATTTTTGAATATTTTTCTTTGATGTACAAATAAGCAGGACTTTTGAAAGAGGAGCAGCACATTTTAGAAACAGAATAATCAACAAAAAAACAAATAGATGCTGCTTTACTTTAAGCTAAAAAAAAAAACCAACAACAAAAACCAGAAACAAAAACCTGTACCAGACCATCTATAAAACATACAAACATTTTAAACTATCAAAATATACAGCAATTCAGTTAAAGTATCAAGAAACAGGATACACTGACTGCTATATGGATAAAATATTTGCTGTACTGTTAACATTTAATTGGTACACATGCTTTTTCAGTTAAAACATACTAATCTCTGAAACTCCAGAATCTCTTTTCCTACCATGTCAAGTATGAATAAGCAAGCTAAGTTATCTAAAAATTCCACTAACACGCTATAACTGTAAGACAAGTTATCAAGTTCAGTGATAACAACAAGAAGTCATATTCTTTATATTTAGGTCTTACGGGTTTGAGTGGGAATAGTGCCCTATTATAAAAAACATTTGTGAAGGCTGTTGACATTTCTAACCAAAGTAATTACTGCATATTTTTAAAGGTTTTGATTCTTTAATTGCAACAATTAGCTATTTGAGGAAAAGTAACAAAAATTACTTATTCTGATCAAGTTCAATTACTGCAATCTACTCATCTCTTCTAAAAAAAAAAAATTACATATTTACCTAGAAATATAAACAGTTGTTTAAAAACTTAAAAGACTTTCCACTGAAAATGGAACCGTGAGTAACAATGCATTTGGGGAAGCAGCAGATTGCTTTTCAATACACAACCACAAAGATCTCACAGGGACAACATTAATGTACTGAAATATATTAATTTATATACTTCCTTAGGTTGTGCTTACCTGTTGCTTTTTTGCAGCAGAACCTAAGGTGGAAGGTCTGGGAAGGCACTGTGAAGTATAAATAATTGCACTGTTTGCAATTAATAAAGATTTTATACCTTAAATGAATCAAAATCAACAGCCTCCATTTTGTGAATGATAAAGAATCCAGTGAATTTAATTCTGCTCAGTTTAGTACATAATAAATGGACCATTCTATAAGGTTATCTACAAAATACCATGCAAAATATCTGAACTATTAAACTTCATACCCTACACTAAAGATAGCAAATACTGTCCTAGCCTTAAGCTACCAGAATAATTCCTGGTTTTAAAAGGGATAAAAATAATTCCTTCTATTTCTACAGCACAATACATACATTGCTAGTTACCTGAATAAACTACTTCAGTTTTCAAGCCTTAACTTTTACTTCTCTGTGCAGCCACCCTAAAAAAATTTATTCTCAAAGCAACAATATGGTGTTCCAAAAGATAAAGCAAGTAACAGTTAGAGAATTATTTAACACATACCTACATCACTACGTATCTGCAAACTATCTGAAGACAAAGACAACTTCTGTCTAACAAGTGGTTCCAAAGACTTCAATGTTACGATATGCATACTTTAACACACTGAATGATACAGCTGTCTCAGGAGCACTAATGAAAAAAACTATGATAAACAGAAACATGATTTTCTTTAGCTATTGCTAAACGTTTCAGGAATACTTACCCACAAAGCTCATATTATGTGTATGTATATATATACGCAAACCTATGTTTATGAATTAAGAAGCAATTATGATTTCCTAAGATATCAGCACTGTATTCCAACATAATAGTCACACAAGTATGGCATTTTCATTATGTGGAACATTGACAAAAAGATACTGTTGCAGTTCATCGATTTGTCATTCTGATGTACTTACAGTGCAATGCTCCTTGAAGGAACAATCAAGGATGATACACAGCACAGTCCTCCTCACCCCTATAGAGCTAGTTCTATACTGGCTGGATCAAACCTGCACTTCAACAGACAATGGCAAGACAGACTGTATTGCATGTAGTCTAATATATGCAAAGAGCCAATAAATATGCAAAGAGCAAACACAGGACTTCAAGAGAATCAGATTTTTAGTATGAGCATTAGAGCAATAAGAAGTTTCAAGTATATATAAAAAAATAATCGATTCAAATACTTGAGTATTTACAAAAACAGAAGTTATCTGCTCTGCAGGAAGTTCTCAACCACTCCCCACCACTCAAACAAAACAGCGTTTTAAGGACAGATGCAATTTTTGTAACTACTACGCATACCACATTGACTTTTCTACACTGAATTTTGAAGTGGACTACTTTAAACTGAAGGCTTAAGCACATCACACTTAAAAAATAAATTTTATAACTAGTCTGAAAAATCCATAAAATAGTTATGCAGGAACAGTTTTGAAATATTCCATTAAGAGCAAAAGTTATCTGTTATAGCAGCTGCACAGGTCTGAAACAGTGGTCATGTATAAAAGGAAATGTCACTGTTAATGCAATGGAAGTATGCCAAAAGATCACCTTCTTAAACACATGCAGTTTTAATCAAATAGGAAGAAAATTAAGGTATCAAGATTACTGGTGCTAGGCAGCAAAATACAATGAATGAAAGAGATCCTCCATCTACAACTATTCTGCAAGAGGGGAAAAACATGCTAACGACAAGTTTTTAAACTCAACAAGGTTTCATGGGGGGGAAAAAAAATTCTCATTTGTGTACAGATACCTTGATTCAGCGTTGCAAATCAATCCTATAAATTCTTTATATACCCACATATCCAACTTACCGACACAGGAGGTTTCATATTATTTATTGTAAAGCACAAAACAGGCATTTTAAAAGTGATAAAGTATACATTGAAAAAGTACATTTATATCACAAAGCGTCAACCACATAATTGCAAATACATTTGCTGGAATGTGTACATCTACACTAATACTAAAAACAAACCATTTTTCATTTCTACACAGAAATATTACCTCCTATCAGTAGTGATAGATATTTTGTACATTTTCAAAAACACTATTCTTTTTTAACCAAACAAAATTAAGATCTTCATCAAGGCGTCTGCATCCATACATTTAACAAAGGTTTTTTCCCCCACACAATGAAGCAAATACTGTATTGTCCACTTCTTATTATTGGCCCTGTGCAGAAGAGATACATAAGAGATACACAAAAAGTTAAAGAAAATCCTTTAAATCGAGCTAACTCAGGAGTGAAGCCTTTAAGAAAGAAAAATTGGTTAATGTAAATGGTGGTGGCTTCTTGCATGGTTTTCAAAACCCTGGGAGGAGAAAGTTTTTCTTTTTTTTTTTTTTAAAAAAAAACATAATCACCAAACATATGGATAGATACAGAACTCAAGTTATTAGGTAAACAAAGTCATCTATTAATTATTCTGATAGTTATTTCGCTAGAAAAAAAGATGCATACTCCAAAGGTAACAAAGCAGGAGACATGCAAAAAAATATCTATAACCACTGAAACGGAAGCCAGCCAAAAACCACTTAAACTTCATACCTGTGGTGCTGGAGGATGTTGTGGCATTCCCTGCGGACTTGTCTGGGCGTAATACGCTGCCTGTTGCCTGTAGTACTCAGCCCACGCTGCGCTGTAATCTGGCTGACCACCTGGCGGAGCCCCAGCAGGGGCAGGAACCGCTTGACCTACAAGTAATTAAAGTTATATAGCTTTGTTGCTGCAATAGAAATGAGAAAATTTCAAAATCTCACGGCCTAACAAATGTCACCTAGCTTCTTGCAATGTTCCTCCAAGGCTTTTGAATAATCTTGTGGCTGCTTTTTTTTTTTTACCTAACCACTCATCCTATTATTTTCATGTAATGACTCCTATGTAAACCAAAATTGAGGAACCACAAGGACAGTTTTTTCCACCTCTGAATCACATTCCAGAGCGAAAGTCTTTAAAGCCTGCTGACCTAAACTGACCTGAACAACCGCTAGCATTTAAATTAAAATACGGGTCAGCAGGCGAGATTACTTTTTGTAATCCACCTAGACTGATGCCTTATTGTACAGACTGCATTAATGAATTCACCAGATGACAATTCATTCACTCCCCCAATTTTGGCCTCCTTAATGCAACTGCTAGGTTATGGCAGATTACATTTTTCAAAAAGAGCATTAATTTTTGTAAACATTTGCTCCACCACAGAATATAATCCTGAAACTTCTCCTTCCAACCTTTGCTTAAATTCTGATCCTCCAGAAATAACAGTGCGTACACACATAGGTGTACACACACACACTCTCCCAGAAGTACAGCTGAGAACTACCAGTCCTTCCAATAAAATCAACTTGCAGCTTAAAAATTCTATAAAGGCAACACACTAATACACAAGGACTCCTTAGTTTATCAAAAAAACCCCAACAAAACCAAAAAACAGCCAACTTTTTAGGACCTCAGTTGTGCTGCTATTCCAAGGAAGGTTTGTTGCAGACATCTTTACTACCTTTTCCCTTTCTTCTATGTCAGAAACAAAAACACTCCACTCATTACCACTACCTTCTTCACAACTTTTTATCCAAAAGGTGCTTTTGCAGTTACCACTGCAGAATATGCCTGACTGTAAGCAGAACACCACTCTCTATCTAGTCATCTATCCTCACACTTGCATGCACCCAGACAGAAGGGGTTTATATGGAGTGCTTCATTTTAAGTTTCTGGAACTTCCAAAACAGAACTATTACTATTGTAATATGACATTTTTGTGATCTACATTCTTAATGGGTTATTTTTTCAAATCAAAGTTTTACACTCAGAATGAAGATACTACCAAAAAAACCCACCACCTCCCCAAGTTTTTTCTAGGATACCAGAAAAAAACCCAAACCACCCAAAACACCACATCCAATCACACTACATCAAATAAATCCAAGCAAAATGCAAGCTTGCACCTGTAGGCCACCTAATCTTCTGTTCTGCTATCAAGGGGCAGCTTCCACACAACGAGGGCTGAAAGTTTTCAATCCTACCTGAAACCACCTCACCTTTTATTTGGATACAAGACCACTGAGGAACCTTCTGGGGAACATTAGTATCAAAGACTCTAATGAACTGTTTTCTAGGGTATCAGATAGCAAGTCGGTTTTGTTTGTTTTTTAAATACTTTTACACAGAAAATTCACATGAAGCATACTAGCTATCCACACTACTCTTACATAAGTGTATTCTCCCAGTCTTCTCAAAAACATTAAGTGTGGGCAGAGAATTGCAACATTTGGCAAAGCACTATCCTGAAAAGCCTTCAAAATACAATCTTCCATTTTTCAAACCTCTATACAACTTACATAATTTTTCCACTTACACGGTAGACATATTAAAAAACCTCCCCATCGCTTTTTGGGTTATACAGTAAAGCAAATGCTTTCCTAGAAAAACTTACTTAAATTTCTTCAAATCTTAAGAGCTGAAATCACATTTTACAATTTATACTTATAATTTACCACATCTTAAAATTTACACTTCTGATCAATTATTTTAACCAAAATGATTTTTAATATGGTTACAAATTATCCCAGGATACACTTTTTGCAAGTTCACTACTAATTTATGAGATTATAATTCTACTTACAAATTACTTAGCTATGTCATAGCTGTCAGCACAGCTGAACGTCAAAGCTAAGGCATTTTTTGTGCTTTATGACCCAAGAATCTTCTGAGATTCAGCCAGCTATCCTAAGGCACTGTTGGAATTCAAGTCATAAATACAGGAAGTTTAACATCTACTCAAAGATGTCAAACTGGACTTCTGTCCTGAAATGGGTTAGTAAAAATTCAAACTATTGTAGCTGCATCATTCTCCTACTAAGTACTGCAAGTAATTCTCAACCTACACATGGAATTCAGCAGTTTAGTCAAAACTTCCTTTCAGTGTACATAACTGCACTGAAACAGTACATGCTCATTAATATCCAGATTCAACTGGAACACTAGAACCAACAAGATCGATAAACTACATACAAGGGAAATACAAGAAACACAGAATACCTCCCCCATTAAGGAAGGCTAAGAAAATGCCAGATGACTCTACAGTTCTTCCACTACTCAAATCATCAAGGGTGATTCTAATAAGAGAAAACTGTTCTTTGTTCTCTGTGCTGCTACAATGCTGAAGAAACATTCAAGAACAGTTGCATTATTTTATTATGGAATCCCTTAACTCTAAATCAAGCCCACAATATACTAGAATGACTTTAAATGCTAAATTTACAAACTCCTATGGTGACATATAGATTGTTTACTAAAATATGACTTCATATTTAGAGGGAACTACTACCCTTGGGAGATTTTTAGGGCCCAGTCACACAAATCTTTATTTCAGCTCTTGTACAGAAAAATAAAAATACTATGTCTCCAATTCAACGTAACAGCACCTATATGTCTTCAAAAGCCAAACTACCATCTTGTTACCTGGTAATATCCAAGGGAAATTTAAAACAAATTTTCTGACTTTATGAAGTACCAAGCAAATAGACAGAGGTCACCTGCAAGATCCATGTACAGTAACTTACCAGTGTAAGTAATTTTACTAGCTTTTCAGTCTTATTTTTAATTTTATTTGCTACTCAAAGCAATAGTCCCTGACCAAAACAAGAGTGGAAAAAGGAGATGGACTTTGACACTGTATTTGTAAGTTGGAAAACCAATTGTTTTCAAGTCACTGTTCTGTACACTGAAAAAAACAGGAAAGTTTTCTGTGATTAGCTGAGCTACTGCACCAGTAGGAAGCTACTTTGGAAAACAGTATTATGGTTTTGATGAGAATATTCAGGAGTGCTTTAGTTTTCAGATTGCTCATACAATATCACATCCAACTTCTTCCGCTCAGTACTGTCACCCTCATAAGCTTGCCACAGGGATTATCAAAGTAGTTTTCTTCAGCAGCAAAAATAAAACTGCTTGGGCTCAACAAGTCCCAAGTTTCAGTTCAGTTCTCCAAAGAGCTGTTTGTGTAATTATCGGTGCTGTGAAAAATCTGAAAGAAGAGTCAAAGAGTGAGTGACTTGTAATTCCTACCTTCCCCCTTTTGCACATTAATGGGGACAGAAGCGTTACAGTACTGTAGGAAGCTCAAACAGTAGTAGCTATACTTGAGAGCCTGGAGACCACGCAAACCTGCTGATGGACAGCCTTCCTGTTAGTCAACACTAACGTTGTTAGTCAACTTAATGTTGTTGTTAAGTAGGTGGGGAAAAAAAACACCTCCATTTAGCACTGAATCAACTCTAGGTGAATTCTCTGCCCTCACCCTTTCTTGATTGTTGTCTTGGGATTTTTTTAATTTTGCATTTTAAGAGCAATTCTTTACATCTCCCAATGCCTATATTTTTTGGGTTCACAATCCTCTTTGGAATTGCTCCCAGAACCTCTATCCCAACACCTTATAACTAGCTATTATTTAATTAGAGCAAATGCAAGACTAGTGCAACGCAGGCTTTGTTTCCAGAGACAGCAAACTAGAAAGATGGCAGAGCCCCTGCCAACAAATCACATTATTCTTAAAAAGGCAGTGAGAAAACCCCGTAACTTTGCATTGAAGAATGTGAGCTGAACTAACAGAGACAATAAATTGAGAAGAAGTACCTAAATGAAACAGGAAAAGGAAAAATGAAAACACCCATCACATCTTAAAAATCACGTTTGGGAGTTGTGTTGCAATTTTCTTAGTCTGATACACAATTCTTGAAGTAAATCATCATTATGTATTTTGTTTCATTTCATTGCTTATGCTGTGCCAAAATAAAGAATAATAAAGGTAGTTATGTCTTGGCAAATAATTTGAGATCAACTTGGTAGAATGCTGGTAAGAGGAATTAATCATGCTATTAATCTTAACTCCAAATGCTTTTTAAATATTTCATGAGAAAATGGGGTGCAGTTGGAAGAGGCAAAAAAAAACCTTACCAAACCCTCCTACTCAAACAAACAAAAAATCCAAACTAGATGCTGCTATACATCTGATCAAACAGAGATATCAGGAAAAGCACTGGCATTCCTAAACCCACTAGTCCTCAGTATACAAATCTACATCAACTACAATATCCATGGGAGGACACTGTGGACAGAACACTGACCTGCAAGACCTTCCCATGATTTAAAAATAACAACACCTTCTGCCAGCGCACCAAGACCACATATTCTTTCCTTATTCGGTAACCGATGAAATCAACTTAACAAGCAAATACATTTCAGTTTTGTTAAGTCCACTCAAGCAAAATATTTTGAAAAAGCTAGCAACAACATATAACCTGCAGTTTAAAACACAGCTCTTAAGTGCTGCAAAGCAAATACTATTTAAAAAGGGCATGATATAAATGAAAGCTAATTATGATGCTTCAATAACCTGGAACACAGAAAGCAAGTTACAAGAAAAAAAAAATCTGTAATCTTAAGAGCTTTAGGAAACAACTACCAAACAAGACAAACAGCAGCTTCATAAAGTATATCACAGTTGACCTCCACAAATATAGGAAATATACTTTAAAAATATACTTCAAAATACTCAGATTAAAGTATTTAAAATACGTTGTTTTCCAGTGATCAAATATATACATCTCATTAAGTATGACGTATTTTTGCAAAGCTAATTACTAGCATGAGCACACGTAAATGCCTTAACACAAATTAAGCCTGTTTTTCTGCAGGGTTCAGGGCCTCTAGCAGTTTATGGTTCAGAAGACACGCGGATTGTGCATTTTTATTTGTTGGGGGTAAAAAAAAAAAAAAAATCTCATCAAACAAGATACACAAGTCTCCTAAAACATTCTACTATGCAACAACAGAAAAAACCATGCACACGTACCCATTTTTTTGTAGTACTCCTCCCAGGCCTTGGTATAGTCAACCTGCCCTGCTGGTGCTGGATTTGGCTGATCTCCTGAATTACACAGATAGTCAAAATAAAACTACTGGGTTTTGTTTCATACATAGAACAATTTACAAATAATCAGCTGATTTTTTCAGTAACAATCCCAAATAACATCACTCAAATCTGACACTATAAACCCATGTGGTACAAGCAACCACAAATATAAACAATTAGTAAAAGACACCACAAAGAAGGAACTGTTTAAAGCGTTCAGCATGCTTTCAAGATTCAGGAAATGCACACCACTCACAGTACAAAATACTGCCTAAAGTTTAATTGGCAAGCCTCATCCAGGCACAACAATTATACTAATACAACTAAATACTACAATTGTAATTGTCCTAAAACCACTAGAAGTGATGCAACTGTTTAAGCAAATGGCAGCAAGTTTGGCTCATTCCATTTTTCCTTATGACTGACTGCATTATGTAGACATAATTAAGTCAGCCCAAATTGCAGCAGAATTCTCTTTGGAGTATATTACAAGATAAATACATTACCCTTATTACTGCTGAAATTAAGAAAAGCAATGCTGAAGGCTGCAAGCAAGAGTTTTCCAAGAAAACCAGCTACCTTATAATAAATTCACCCAATATATGAAGACAACACTAAAAAAATAATGGGGCATCTACACCCCCAGCAATGAGAAATGTATCCGTTTTACTAAACAGCTACCTTGTCCATTAGTTTGGGTTGTAGCTGGTCCACCAGGAGGGGCTGCAGGTGGTGGCTGTGCTTGCTGCTGATAGTAGTGAGCATAATAAGCTGCCCATGCCGCTGAATTGGGATCTGTTCCTGGCTTACCTATGAAAAACAAAACAAGCATTTATAAAAAGTAGTATGAACAAAATGCTGTCCTCAATTAACCCTGTCCTAAGTACTCATATTTTCCTCCAAGGAAAAATCCATCAGAACCAAATAACCACATATATCTTGTATCTTTTCCTTCTAGCACAAACTTTCAATCAAGTCTCAGACAAGTGTATTGTACAAAGTATACTTTCATGGGACTGATGAGATAAAATCATTCTAGAACCCTTACTACTACAATGTCATTTGTTAGCTTTTACATGTGATAAATAGAATCAGATTTTCCAAGTTTATTTAAACAATCATGTTACTAAATGGTAGCAACAATGAATCATTCTAGCACAAAAAAATTTCAGTGGTTTTACTTTTGTTATAATCTCACACTGGTGACACTAGCAGAGGAGGCATGCCAAATACATACTTCTGAAACAGAAGAATACAAATCTTACTAGCTACTTGCAATGCTTGTCAGCTAAACTTTAAGGTAACAGTAAAATACAGAAACACACAGTATTTCAAGAACCTGAGTCTCCATACATAGCTATAAAGCATCACTGCTTACTTACAGCTTTTTAGTATAACAAATAATAGCAACACTTGCATCTTCTGCAGCTATCTCCATGCTTCCCTTATTTTTAACTCTATCTAGGTAGGCCAGCGATGCTGCTTCTTAGAGCCTTATTTCTGTTTTTCACGTACAGCCTTTAGGAATGGCTTATTCTTGCTGAATCACAGAGATTGATTACATTACTAGATCGGCAATCCACAAAAACTGCAAATCTACTATTAGAGAACGTAACGTTCTGTAACACAACCAGCATCCTCTAACATTATTTGCATCCTTAAAGAATACAAATATCTGCAAATAAATGTGGCCAACTGAGGAAAGAACTTCACGTAAAGACATTGACACAACTGATACTCCAGGATAACCATACATGGGAATGGAAGTGTATTTCCCCCCAGGCACAAAATAGGTAAGGCAGTGACTAATGGAGGAAGAAGTAGTTCCCTGAAAAATGCATTCAGGGAGAAGAAATCCACAACACAACAAATTTCTTGCAGTATTTCATTTACATGGAAGTCAGTTGTAACCACTTAAAAATGCACACAGTAGTATCAGCATACAGAAAACAACATTAGCACGCCGTTTCCTTTTTAAATTACACTGCTTCCATCAAAAATAGCGGATTTAAACTAGTATGTACTATATTCTAAGGTTACCTGCAAATATCAAATAAGCCATTGCTCGGTTCCCCCCCTCCTTCCCCTTAGTAGCTACTTCTCTAGAATAGAAGAACACAGAGCAGGATTCATTACATTTCCAAAGAAATCTGACTGTAGTAACTAGCTCCACTTTTATGTGACAAGAGGCAAGCATGGTTCTGGAGAAAGCACCTCTGAAAAAAAATACTAAAATAACCCATTTGTTACACTGAAATGAGCAATTAAGTGGACAGCTGTGCAAAATTCATCCAAATAAATGCTAGTCGAAAGATACACCAACTTCAACTGCACACAGGAAATCTTCATTAGATTTTTAAGAGCAGTACTTATTCAAGAAACTGTTACAAAAGCATCATCAAGATAGCATCAAGGTGAGTATTTGCCATTTTTCTTAAGAGATCTTTATGTAGATAAATTACTTTATAAAAAATGAAATGGTGGTACGAAAAAGGCTATAACATTTTGGCAGTGGTTTTGGATTAAGTGACACTTGGTATGCTGAGACTTCAAGTCACTGTGAATCATTCTACTTTTAAATAATGACAATAGGCATTTTTAAATACTAAACTGAATGCATGCAGAACTACCTTTTGTAAGAGTTAGGAAAATGAAACCAGAGACGGTTCTTTGCCAAGAAAGGATATATAGAAGACTGGAACATAGATAGAACTCTCTGTAGATTGTAACATCCTCCAAAGCCCTCGCCTTTTTCACTAACAGAACTTGTGTCAGGACCAGTGGCTATCAGAAAATATTTATTCTGTTTATAACAAGAATAAAATTGAGATCTTTTGGCTGAAGTTCTGAAGAAGCTCTACCTCAAACAAATGAGGTACAAGTGATTCAAGCATCTAGCCTTACCATGCTTTCTGTGACTGCAGTTCCATTTCCCCATATGCTCTAGTCCAACGAAAGGATATAACTTAAAGAAAAGCAGGATACTAAAACTGCGGGAAGTTGTAATTAAGTAAAAACTCCCGGTCTTGACAAAGATAAACAGAAATAGAAGAAACAGATTCTACAAAGATGGGTTTCAGAAGAAAATACAAAACCATTATAAGCAAAAGCTCAAAATACACAATTCTAACTAGTTTTACTATATTAACAGTTCAACAGAAGTTTTATCATATAGATCAACAAAAGCTAGAAATACGTAATGTAGCATAAATTGTGCAAAGTCGGGATCAGTGAGATTGTAAGAAGGACTGTTTAAAATAAAATACAAAGTCATTGACTATTAGGGAAA